TGGCTGTAAATTTGGCGTAACACAAAAATGGTGTTATCATTTAACAAGCTTTCGTTGGTAGGAACCTACCTCAGAAGTATAAGGACGAAGCCGAAGGGGCGAAGGGCCTTCGCTCGAAACGTCGAAATTCTCCTTATATTTTTCAGGTAGTTGCAAAGCTACAAACGAAAGTTTGTTCAAAGTATTGGCACTACCTAAACTGCCACCGCAGATGATATCATTTACAAGATGTTATCATTTACGCTAAATCAGTGTCTACAGTATACAAAGCTGCAATGAATACACCATTTTGGTGTTGTAGCGAGTCTGCGACACCCAGAAATTCTGAGTGTTCGACTCAGTAATCAGAACGTCGCCCTTTATTGCAGCCACTGTGTGGCAAAGCCGGTGAGACGTCGAATTTTTCCTGTGCACTCTCCAGTCGACATATGCAAAATTCGACATTCAAAGCAGCCCATATACAACACTTAATATCAGTTGCAAGTTAAGGCAATTTTGTTGCTTGCATTTTATTATACTGTCCGACTGTTCAGTGTGCATTCATGGAATTCTACAAAGCAAGTCATTTTGAATCTCAAATTACGACTCATGCAGACAAAACGAAAAAAAAACACACGCAGTTTGTCGCCCATTGTGTCTAAGTGCCTTGAAAGGAAATCTGAAATTGATTATGTACCGAAGTTCTCGTGTATCAGTGCATGATTACGATTTTCAGTCAACTGAGTCAAGGTCTGCTCATTTGCTCGAATTACCTCACAGGTTGCGAAAAAGGAAACGAATGCCTACCAAATTAACTCGACTAACATATGTAGTTCACTAAATCCTCAGATCAGTTTCAAATCAATTTAATTAAGCATGCAAATAGCTGATTTTTAGGAAACGTTTAAATTTGCGTGAATAGTTAAATGGCTTAAACTAAACCAAATTGTCTGAAATTTTGCACAGTAATTAAAATCACAGTAATTAACTCAAACTATGATTACAACTTTTAATTTTTGTGCGCGAGCCATTTTTAGTTTGTTGGAAAAGACACACCCCTTGGTTCACAAAATTTGAGTTCATGAAATCTTTTTCATTATTCTTCATTATATGTACCCAAAGAAGCTATATATATATATATATATATATATATATATATATATATATATATATATATATATATATATATATATATATATATATATATATATATATATTTAGATGAAAATGTTCTAGAGTGTGTATTATATAATTTCCATGCCCAACGCAAGCAGAAAGATGTTGTCTGCCGCGGCTGGGTCTCCAACCCGCGACCTTCGAATTACTAGATCGACGCTCTACCTACTGAGCTACACGGTCAGACGGATAATACACACTCTAGAACATTTTCATCTTAACATATAACAGAGTGTACAATTACACAACAAACATAACACTTGCAGAACTAGTATTGTTCGATGCTGAATTAATATAAACGAGTATGTTTATGACATTCAGTATATATTTCATAATTTCCAGTCTTAAATCCGTCTGACCGTGTAGCTCAGTGGGTAGAGCGTCGATCTAGTAATTGGAAGGTCGCGGGTTCGAGACCCAGCCGCGGCAGACAACATCTTTCTGCTTGCGCTGAGTATGGAAATTATATAATACACACTCTAGAACATTTTCACCTTAACATATTACGGTACAATTACACAACTCAACATAACACTTGCAGAACTAATATTGTTCGATGCTGAATTATATATATATATATATATATATATATATATATATATATATATATATATATATATATATATATATATATATATATATATATATATATATATATATATATATATATATATAACCGGATACAAATAGGTGTTTTGCGAAATTGAGAGCAATTTCAAATCCAATTGTTTTTGTTTGTGGAAACACCACGTAAATTTATTACTGCAAACAAAAACAATATATTTTATCGCCATGCAAACATTCAAAGAACTTAATTTCAAATCTGTTCAGTTTTTTTTATACACCCTGTATAAAGGGTTTTTGCTTAAAAAATTATATTCTGATTTCTGCCGGCTCATGTCTTTGTCTTCGCTCTTTCAGAAGTTTTTCAGTCAAAAATATATTTTTTACTATAGTTTTATACATATAGGTGGTTTATTTGCCAACCTGTAGACAATTGCTGGGAGTTTTTTCCATTGCATTTTTATTTCCATTATGGAAGGCTACAAAAACGAATAACTTGCTGCTTTATCTACTAGCAGGATGTGAGCTAATATCCTGCGATTCCTGCTAGTAGAGAGTCAATAGCTTATATCCGGTAGCTGTCTATATAATAAAAATCGTTTTCGTTTATATGAGAGGAGGAGAAGACCTCCCTGGCGACATTTCGCTATATTGATTACGGATTACCCGAGATCTGGTCTAGTAAGGCTGGAAATTTCACATATAAACGCAACAGGGTGGACTGTGGCCTTCTTAAGTTAGGGGGCTGTTGCATGATTCCACTTTGCCAAGGCGAGATGTGAGGCGGGAAAATTTTTTGATCCAAAACATAGCTTATCGAAGGGAAGATGGCTGTGAAACTCGTTAGAATAACAATATAACTCATTATCTATGTTAGTCAACGTTTATTCATAAATTTGATCCTTCGCCGTCACGTGTGTATTGTATTTTTGCCCAACTTATCCGTGACTCGAACAATAGGGAAATTGGAAACTGCAGTGTTGATGGATTTGGCAAAAATGCAATATACACGTGTTGGTGAAGGACCAGATTTATGAACAAACGTTGACTAAACATAGATAATGAGTTATATTGTAATTTCACAGCCATCTTCCCTTCGATAGGCTATGTTCAAACTGAGTTGTCCTACTCCTTTGTTTCCAAATCCCATAGCTCTCCATGCTCTGCAGTCACTTTTGTTCTCAACTATTTTTTATTAACTGCAAAGAGCTTATTGCCCATTTTCAATGTTTATTTACAGTCTTTCAAGAAATTATTTTGGTTCCATTGTCATTCTAATGATACGGATTCTTTCGTAAACTCAAACACCATTGAATTAATTAGTTCAAGATCTCAACCATGCATGAAATCAGTTGAATTTGCCAAGCTGTACACGTCGTGTTCAGTTCGTGTTTCCAAGCAATGGATTTCCATAGACAATTGTTCCTCCATGACTATATATATGGTCTAGAGAGAAGATGTGAAACAATGTATTTTCGCAAAAAGAGGCAAAAGATCTATCTGTTTCCTTTCTCGAATAAATCTTCACATGCAAGGTACACGGAATTTTCTAACAGTGAACATCTTCTACCAAACCAAACCAAGCCACAAAGAAATTTGCATGCTTAATTAATGCATTTTTAAATTACGTAATTTGCCTATTGCCGCAATATACAAATTTATAGTCAAAGGCATTAATTAAGCATTCAAAAGGTTTTTTTAAGAAAAAATGTAAGTTTGCGTGAATAGTTAAAAGACTTAAACCGAAGCAAATTGTCTGAAATTTCGTGCAGCAATTAAATTCCCATGCAACACATGTTTCACCCATTAACTCAAAAAAACAATTAAAGTTTTTAAATCTCGTGCACCAGCCATTTTTAGTTTGTTGGAAAAGTCCCCCCCCCTCGGTTTACAAAATTTGAGTTCATGAACTGTATACTAGTAGCTGTTTTGCGAAATTGACGGCAATTTCAAATTTCGTCCGTTTTTTTATACACCCTGTAGTTCAATTGCAGTTTTACCCTGACGCAGAAAGCTTCATTTGAATGCGCAGTGGAAACTCCGAATTGGCTTAGCATTTAACAACTTTTTAACAAGTTGAAGGCGACAGTCTTGTACCAACTTGATAAAATGACAACATTGTTAACTTGTTGACAAGTTTACTGCAACTCGTCACAAACACATGTTGTTGACAAGTTGTGAGATTTTTACGTGTTAAATTCATAACCAAATAACTAATTCATTATTCAAATATCGGAATGTATTGCGCGTCCTACAATGGGCCTGCATTCATGCATAGCTAATCGTTCAGTATTAATTATGAAATCAACTAACAAACCGACTAAACTTTCTTTTTTAGAATCCTTTTGTCGTAACATCAAAATGTCTGCCAAGTACGATTACGTCAGAGCGGACAAGTTCACGCCAGAATCGCGTGTCAACTGGAAAAGTGTTGGCAAGGTCATGAGTTGGAAAAAAGAGGAAGAAGGTGTCGTCGACCGCGTTACTCTTGCATTGGACAGCGGTCACAAGGTTTACATCTACTTCCTTTCCCACCAGACCTTTCGAGTGCGCTTCAACCCAGACCCTAAAGCGCCGTACGTGCCCACAGAATCACCTGCCACGGTTGAGGATCGCATTGAAGCGTATGACCTGCGTGTGAAAGAGGAAAATGGTGTACTCCAAATGAACACAGATTTCATGGAAGTACGCGTCAACCTTGAAAAATATGCGCTTTCTGTGTACCGTGGCTCACAACTCATCCACGCTGATCCACCTGACTACAATCTCGTGTACATCCCGCGCGACCTTGGCGAAGCCGTCGCGAATTTCAAAATGGCTCCCACGAATGCGCAGTACTATGGTTTTGGTGAGAAAGGCGGGGCGAGCTTGGACAAGCGCAGGGTACCCAAGCAACATTTCTACGGGCAGTTTGGCGGGAAGATTTATGAGAAGATTCCAGCGGCTTTGACGTTTTTTAACTATGATAATTTTGGTTACGAGGTTCCAGATCTTACACCAGATGGTAAGTTTATAGACAGCCTGAATGACTTTATATACAGGGTGTATAAAAAAAAGCGCAATCCTCGACTGAAATGTAAATTGCTAAACAAATAATAGACGAAAACGTTAAAGTTTACATTCATTTTAAAGCGTAGCCATTCAGCTTTCTAACAGTGGGTTGTTTC